CTGTATCATGATAATTTACGGACAGTAAACTTTATGTATTTATCAGATTCATTTTTTTGGTACATTAATTTTTATCCTATTTATCAATTTGTTGGATTTGTTCTGGAGTGAGGTATTTAACAAAGTCACTCCATGTTGTACTGTGTATGACTGCATATTTGAAAATAAAACTTGATTTGATTTGGAGATAAAAGCAAAGTTTAGAAAAGTGCAACCTTTATTTTATTCAAAATTACTCTTAATAACGGTAGCTATTATTATTGTTATCATTATTATTTTAGCTTCTGTGTTAAAATAATAACACTGTGATAATAACACAAAATAATATAATAAAATAAAAGTAAAAGACCAACCTGGTCATCTGGGCTGTTTCTGTCAGAGTCTGAAACACAAAGAGACCGTTTATTAGACAGTGTGAGGGAGTGTGTGTGTGTGTGTGTGTGTGTGTGCGTGTGTGCGTGTGCGTGTGCGTTTGCTGGGTTGTAGAAATTGCACAATGACTTAAACAACATCACAATCATTTGAAATAATTAGAGAAAATTCATGATGACTGAACATGTTTAAACAAAATGTCATTATTATTATTCATGTCATGAAATATATTTGTGTTTGTGTACCTGAACTGTCCCCTGGATACTCAGCCCCAGGCTTCTCCTCTTCTGCTGCTTTAGACATCCTGATATCTGCAAGAGACACACACATTCACACACACATCAGAAAGGGTCACGGAAAATACATGGAGGTACACATGCTACATGGTTAGAACAGCAGAAGGTTGTGAAAAACACACTCTCAGCGACTGTCATTTAGGTGCCTTTAGAACATTTGACCACTATACTGTATGTCACAAGAGAAGACTGGACACGCTGGACACACACACACACACACTAATGCTTATAAATCCAACAGTATCAGTGGGTGAAACAGACTGACTCTGTTCCTCTCTCTGTTTGTGTTGTAAATTAAAAAAAGCAGTTCATCACAAATGATGTAAAAGTGTAACTGACTAAAAAAAATGAATGTTGAATAAAATGCAAATACAACTGTGTTATCTGTTTAAACTGGGTTGATTATTGCATCAATAACTGCAATAATTTTCTGAATCATAACTTGCATACAGTGTCAAAAGTCATTGGGGGAGAAGGGCAAAACTAAATGTGTGACATGCCATTGTGTCTTGTATCAGAAGGCGGGCCGGCCCTCCCTCTCCGTCGGGCGAGATCAGCACTTGTATCTATTCATCTGTAAAGACGATTTGCCTCTGACATTATACTTATAACACCCGCTCTCAGGACTAGCGTACACTCTACAGTATAATTTAAAGTTGACACAGTGATATCGACAAGTCAAATAAAAAAAAAAATGGTTTGAAGTTTTACTGATTTTAGGTTTGACTTTTGATGTACCTGCATTTTTATTGCATTTTAAACCTATGCCAAGGATATTTTGCTTTAATTTATAATTTTTCCTGCAGAAATATTTTTGTATAATATGCTTGTATTTTAGTCCTTTTCAGACCGACATTAAGGATATTTTAGAATGTATATTTTATCCTACTTTCATCATTATGATTCTACCTCATCCCCATTATCATGATATTTTTTATTTCATTGTTTTTACTCTGAACTGAGGTCTCACTTGTAAGATCTTGGTCTCAGTGTCAATTCCTGAGTAAATACAGTAATAATGTAGTGCAAAAATAATCCAAAACTGCCACATGAAAATATGTTATTTTCCCCCTTGCTTGCATATGAATATTGTTTGCAGTTGTGGTCAGCCTATAGTTGCAGAGGTGCAGCATCAAATTCTCGGCCCTATTCGTAAGCCATCTCTGCCGTACTTGGCTCTAGTTGTGTCTTCAGACAAATCCAATTGCAGGGGCGGATTAAACCATTTTGCGCCTTCTGTAAGAGGTAAGAGGGGCCGCAGAGGGCTTCCACATTTTTTTTTATATGCAAAGTTCTGCTGATTTATTCAGCCAATTTTAATTTGGATATGTCATTCATTAATTTAAAAGGAAAAAAAATGCTACCTTACATTGAGGTCCTGGGTAATCAGTTCCCCACGTCCCTGTATAGTTGTACAGCAATAAATTCAGTAATTTCATATTCCATTTCATGTTTGAGCAAAACAAAAACAAAAGTGCAGTTCAGAATGACAACTATATTCTATATTTTTTTTTCAAACACAATCTACGTGCTTTTGAGAACATTTTAGTCAATTGTAATAATAACTGTGTGAGAAGAAGGGATAAAATCCACACATAGCCAGGATAGCTCTTGAATGACGCTATAGAAACCCACACAAATCTTCTCAATAGAATCAGTCCTCCATGTTTTATACATTTATTTGTGTGTACACTCTCTCCTGTCCTTGCATCATCTGTTGCTTGTTCTCTTTCACCATTCACATACACAAACAAGGGTCCAAACAATCCCTGCTGTCTGAATGAGAGGTCAGTCCTGCAGTTTTCTCTCTGCCTGAGTGCGATTCTCACTATTGTGCAGGTCAAAGTTCAACTGCTGCTGTTGGGGATTCAAAAGAACACAGAGCACTCGGATATGACTGTAAACAAATAATTTGCGAGCAGTCACTATTAGTGAAAGTGTCCTGAGTTGATGATCTTTGACAACAAGAAGTGGAAATGATAATGTCATTGTCCTGTGATAACCTCGTGTTGGTGATGAAACCCTTTGAAAGCTCGGCTGGATAAAATCAGAAATACATCACTGTCAAGATAAAACCTGTTCTTCTTCGCTCCTAAAAATTCAGGTGTGGAAGATATGGCACAGTTTTTACTCTGCAGTGATGATGTGAAACTTCCAAGATTTACCCCTGCTGATAATTTCATCCTGTTTTCATTAAATACGACCTGCAAACGACCGCGCTAAGCAAAAATGTACCTCAACAACAAAACTGATGATACCATGCTCTAATTGAGCTCTTTAAATGTAAAATTTATTGACTCAGGATGTGGGACTGGGATTAAGAATCAGCTTTTTGTGGCAGATATTGTGTTAACTACCCTCGCTGTGCCTCCTGTTTGTGGCGACGTCTGGGATTGCGGCAGTAATTGGTCCAGGAAGAGCGACGCCAGAGGAACTGCTTACCTGAGCACCAGACATTACTCAGCATGGCCGCTACCGCCATCTTGGATAAAACACTACTTCACTCGCCCCCTGTGCTACGCCTTTAACTTCTGTCTGTCTTGTGCTTTTATAACTCATTTCGCCTCTTCAGCTCAGGGACTTTTTGCTCATCTACGGCGCCGGCTCAACAACAAAAGAGACACCTCGATAAAAACGTGGTAAGAAAGAGCTCAAAATGTAAGCTCTGTGTGATTTAGTGCTTACGTTCTGTCTGCGTGAGGTTCATGTGTCTGACAGGAGGCTGAAAATAATCAAAGTACACCTGATAAAACCACAGCTAACATCCTCCTCTAGCCTGCACCTCGTCTTCCTCGATATAATTACAACTACAGCTTCTGTCCTGCTGCTTCACTGCCTCCTTTATACCCTACAGAGAACACACACACACACACACACACATACACGGAGGGCCCACATTTTGTGTATGACACAGGAAATATGGACAAGGGAGGAATGAATGCTTGAAAACAAACGAAGGAGAAGGGCTTGCTGTAAATGATATATAAACCCAGTGTGTGTGTGTGTGTGTGTGTGTGTGTGTGTGTGTTTGTGTGTGTGGTAATCTTATCATCAGGGTCACAGACAAGTTCAAGATGTGATGAGAGGAGGTGGGAAGAAAGGACAGAGGGGGAGAAAGAGAAACAAAGAGAAAGAGAGCGTGATGTCAGGATGCAGTGAGAACATTTTGAATGTGAGGAAGAAAACTGGGACAAATCATGTCCTACCCAAAAAAAACCCCAACAACCTTAAAATTCATCAACACACTAATTCTGTTTCTGGGGTCAAACATTATTTTATACAGGATTTATATGTATAAAATAAACATGATTTTTTTTCTGTTCCCCTAAACTCGCCATGTGCCAGAAAACACCCTATAGATCTAGAAAAGAATTTACAACTTCAAGTAATTAATAAATGTGCTCAAAGCCTTTAAATTTTGAAACTAACAGTATGAACTGATAACATCGGTGTGAAAATATACTGCTATAATTGCGAAAATGTTGGACCTTAAAAGATGTGTCTCAGATTTTTCTCAACTCGACTCCTGTCTCACTTCCTGATTTCCAAAAAAGGCAGGAATGCTGATTAAGTACTGGTCAGCTTTCGTTTTTTTTTTTGTTGATAAATTCCTTAAATAATATTAATATCAGGTGTGTCTTAACCCTAACATGTCAACTCTACCCTCCTAAATCAAAACTTAGCATGAATTATGGTTTTAAAAAGAGCATTTTGATTAGCATTATTCCGTCAACTCTGTCAGATCTTACCTCTGACATCCATTGGGTACACTGTTAAAGAAAACATATAATCATTGGGAGGTTGGCCCAAGGTTTAACAGTCAAGACTTTGATCTGTTAAAATATATTTTCCCAGTTTAATTGAAAAATAAAAAACAAAACCTCAAAAAAAAAAAAAGGTTTTTGTTCCCATTTTCAAGAAGAAGTGAAATATTTTCTTTTATGCTGTTCAAACTATAATGCCAAACACTAAACCCTGACATTCTCTGGTGTTAAGATGACCAAAAGCCAGAATGGTTGTTTAATTTTGATGTGGTTAAGTTTGTCTCAAAAGCCTGGAAAAGAGGGCAAGATAGACTGTGTAGTTATTTTGATTCTGTAAATGTCTCTGTGAGTGATCCATGAACTCTGTCTTACACAATGATGATGTGATTATACAGACTTCTTTTGTTGCTTTGCTCCATTTTCCATTTTCTTTTTTCTTAATGATGTCTAAAAATATGTTGGTTGGACTCTGGTCCTGGATTGTTGGATTTCATGGTGTCTTGCAAGCCTTGTCTGACACAATAATAACAAACTATTTCATTTATATAAAAAAGGAGGAAATGAAGACAGAAGGAAAGATGAGACGGACAACAAAAATATTGTTTTGCAGGTGTAAAATATCTGTGCACTGAACAGAGATGCAAACTTTATCACACACCTCCCTTTTTCTGTGTGTTGACTTTTTCTTTTTCTCTTCTCTATAATAATAAACATTCATGTCAACCTACGTGGTGATTCCTCATCAAAGTTAGGTGTTGAAAGAAGTCAACATTTTTTGGGGGGAGTCAATACGGGTAGGAAGTAGCTGATCTTGTGATATTTTTAATCCAATAATTACTTTTGTTCCATTTGTCAGAATCTTCCATTAAGAGCATTGTGGAAATAAAGGTTTGTGTTGTCACGTCTGTGATTTAAAAAACTGCATTCATCAAAATCAACCTGCATCACTGTTGTAAAGGAGCGAATTCTATGAGGACTGAGTGAACCTTCAGTTAGTGGACGATTGCAGTTACATGATACATCCATATGGTGGCAGCACCCTCCTGGAAATGCTGAGCCAAAACTGTGTGTGTGTGTGTGTGTGTGTGTGTGTGTGTTTGTGTGCTGTACCAAGCACCTCATAAGTCATCTGAATCTTTTAAATTAAAAAAAAAAATCTATGTTGAGGAATAAAAAGTTTTAAAGGGGTGTAACAGACTGCCATCACAGGTACACTAAGAAATACATGATGAGGCTGAACACTGAGCTCAA